TAGTATATGTATAATATATAAAATAAATAATATATGTGGTATAAAAATGATAGAGAATAGATATGTTATATGTATAATATTTCGCGCAGTTGATCATCAGCCAATCAGATTGTGACACATATAATTTACAAATAAATCATATAGTCAAATCACATTTTTGATGATATCTTGGCTTTCAGTGATTGGATTTAGATAATCTCACCACCTTTAGGTTTGTCTCGATGAGCTGATTCCAATAGTTGTAGTTTTATCTTGATTAAATTGATGGTTGTAAAGTTATACTTCAAATAGCTTCTTTTCTAATGTCAACAATATAATAAAGAAAACCTCTAGCTCTAGAGCTTTGTTATATTAAGGTTATACTGTAATATTCACTGGTCGAAAAGGTAAAATTTGACTCCAAATCGGCCAGAAATTGGCCAAAATTCGCCCACAAATTAGTAGTCAATTAGCAAATTTTGGTCGAACTCAGGTCGAATTAGCCAAAATAATTGACCTAGATTCGATCCAAAAAACACCAGGTAAAAAAAAAAGTAGCCGATTGTTTAAATCGGTAGCCGATTATAGGCTGATTGTTTATACAGATAGCCAATTATAGTCGAATGCTAAATTTTTAACATTTGATCTAAAATCGGCTTCCGAATTTTGGCTAATTATTATAAATATTCAGCCAAAATTCAGTAGCCGATTTTAGGTCAAATGTTAAAATTTAGCATTCAACCTATAATTGGCTACCTGTATAAACAATTAGTCTATAATTGACTACTGATTTAAACAATCAGCTAACTTTTTTTTTTACTTGGTGTTTTTTGGTTTGAATCTAGATTGATCATTTTGGCCGATTCAACCTAAGTTCGACCAAAATTTGCCAATAGATTACCGATTTGTAGGCAAATTTTGGCCAATTTCTGGCTGATTTGAGGTCAAATTTCACCTTTTTGACCAGTGATTACAAATATAGCATTCTTTAAACTGTCAATTTAACTCAAATATTCTATAATATAAACTATAATTCAATATAGTTTAATAACTTAATCACAAATCAATTATAAAATTTTTAGACAAATTTATCTAAAAAATAGTTTAAAAGATAATTTACTTTTATTATATTATATATAACTTTTATAAATATATTTTTTCTTATTATTTTCTAAATGTATATTATTAGTTAGCTCTTATAGAAAGCATTTAGAGATGTTTAATTGTAATTAAAATTTTAGATTAATTAATTATAATTTTACTGTATTTTTAGGATAAAGCAATAATTACAGTTTTATTCAGTACTAATGTTACAGAAACACACTGTCTTCAATCATAGGTAATTGGTAAATCTCTATGATCACAATGCTTTAAATGTGTTAACTTAAATTCTCTTCTTATTATATATCATGCAAATGAGAATGCAGGATGCATAGTAATATATATATTTTTTTTGGTTTTAAGGTAACCTCTTTGCCACGCTGCTCTTTATTCGAATATTAGTAGTATTTTTAACCATCAGACATATCCTCATAGCTGTATATATTTGTTGGATACAACTTGCTATATCTGCGCTTTTTAAGTACCTATTTAAATAGTTTGCCTATTATTAGGTTCTACACTAGATGCTATACCTGCACCACATTAGGGGTTACCCATTTAAACTCTCTACGCCTATGTATCAACTCTTTTATATCCAAGCAATGATACTTAGTATCACCTTATTTTCACATGCTGGCTTAGGGCTTTAAAACAGTCTTTACCATTTTAGAAAGTTCCTTAGCCTTGAGATAAACCTGCTAGAGCCTTCTATATCCACATTTTGGCTGATCTAGACTTCAGTAACTTATGCCTAGTCCAAGAACAAGTATTTGTGAACTGAAGCCACTATCATTACTGATTTTGATCTTATAGAGTTTACTCATATCCTAGCCCTATACTCATCCAATTAGAAACCCTTCTACTGTTTCACCAAACTTATAATCCAGATAGCCCAATTTGGTTCACAAATTATATTACCCGCTTTCCAACTGCCTTAATACAGATACTAGCCTGTAGATTCTGATGGCCTAATTGGTATAATGCTTACTAAACACCCAGTCCTCATCCAGAAGCTTATTGATTTTCTTCTTAGACTTTTCAGAACTATCGAAAGTATATGCTATCTCTCTGCTCAGAACTTGCCAAATGTATTCCTATTTAGAACAAAGTTCAACAGATTTACACAGGTTCTGAATACTTATTGTGGATTTATACTACCTTTTATCAGTTTGTATCTCTTTGTGTAACTCCTATATTATACAAATGCCCCAATATCTTTCAAGTCTGTACTACTACTTCCAATTAGAGCTTGCAAGATAAGCTGTCTGTTAGGCGATCATTATACTTTGCACCTATTTGGTCTGACTATTGTTACAGGATCTATATTCTAACATCCAAAATAGTTATTAATGTACAGAAGAATTCGATTTTTCATCGTTAGTGAAAATTAAACTTTGAATATACCACTTGAGAGGTGACAACTTGACCACTTCACTAAGTCACCACACCCATACATAGTAATATATTTAATAAGTAGCTCTAGCAATTAGATTACTATTTTTAAATTAATGGCAAAAAAATTATCCTACTAATTAATAATGCTGCTTCACATTTTGATCCAAGTGAAGAAGAATATACTGACCAAAATTGTGCAAATTCCGTTTCTGAAGAAGAACTTGAATCAAATATTATTGTAGATTTATTCTCTAAGACATCTTCTAAGGTATCTTCTAAGACATCCTCCAAAAAATGTGTATTAAATAAAAAACAAAAAACATGTAAAAACTGTAATCATCAAAATGTAACATATTCAGGTCTGACTAATATTAAGGTTGCATTTTTACCTTCATATATAATGGCTTACCTGCAACTAATGGATGCAGATATTATTAAGAGTTTTAAAAGCTACTACAAGGCTCTTTATTGTTATCATCTTTTAATGCTATATGAGGCTAGCAAAAATATTAATAAGTAAGTGCCTTTTTTTAAATATGCTTTTAACTAACATATATACAGCATTTCAAATAGTTGAATCAAGCTATAGATTAATTAATGCTATCTGTTAAAAATAAATTCACTGACAAGTACTACAAAATATTGAAAAATTTATACAAATAACGATAACATTCTTTTCTTAGGTTTTTAAAATAATATTTTTATACTAATCTTCTATAGGATTATTTACTGTAGCTTGTAATTTAAAGATTATTCCTGAAAACTATCTAATATTGTCGTAACTGAAGTTGAAATCTGCCTGAAGTTGGAAATTCAGTTAACTAAAGTTAGCACCTGCCTAAAGCAGCTAACTAATGCATGCAGAATATTCTTATTTCAGAGGCTAATTTTAGTCAGGTGCAACTTCAATTAACTGAAGTTTCAACTTTAGGCAGATTCCAACTTCAGTCACAACACTTGTAATTGTAGATTTTTAATCGACAGCTTGGCCAAATCTATAAACTATTTGGAGCATTACTATTTTTTTATTTTTTAAAAAAAACAAGCCAACTATCAAACAAACTATTGATTATTTTGCAGATTCATAAAATGCTGTTGATGAAAATATGATTATTAACTGCTAGAAAATAACTAGGATTCTTCCTGGTGTTGATAATAATGAAGTTATTTATGCTACAGATATTCAAAATGAAGCAAGTTTACTCTATAATAATGAGCTTGATGAGCTTTTAAATGAATTGCCTATAGAAGATAACTATGCCACCACTTTTAGTTCTGCAATAGTTGATTATTTTAATGATATTGATCAAACTATTGTGACCAAAGAAGCATTGACAGACCAACAAATATCATCAACTCTCTCTAAATACATGTTCTCTCTAAATGCAGATTTAAATTTATAGCCCATATATATAATTATTCTCTATAAATATATTTTTCTTAATTGTTCTATTAATGCATATTGCTAAAAGTCTAGTCCTAAGACAATGCATTTAGAGAGAGTTGATTGTAGTTACTTTTGTTCAAAATGAAGAACATGATGATACTGAAAATAGTTCAGATGATTCAGATGAAAAACTATTTGAAGTGCCTATTCAAGAAGCATATAATGTATTAAAAACATGAATGACTTTCTTTGAACAACAACAATCTTCAAATTTCGATATAAACAATATAAAAATATTTAAAAAATATGATAAAATTGTGAAAGAATATTGTTAAATTTACAAAAACAAAGTTCTATTACCAATTATTTTCAGAAATTTTAAATATTTTATATATTATAAATAAAATAAAATAAATATATTTATATTATTTTTACTATTTTATATAACAGTCCGGGAATATACCATATTAGAACAGTGTAAATTACTCCTTTTATGGTATATAAATATCAATCAGAAAATTCTAGGCTACAGATCATAGATATATACATGATTGTCCATAATAATTAACCAATCAAATTACATAATTTTTATGAAAATTCATCGTTTCAATACTAAATATTAAAAATGAAAAATTTTTTAAACAAAGAAGCTTACAACTAATAAATGCATATAAACAAATTTATTACATATACTTGAAGAATAAATAAATATGCATAAA